ATCTATATTTGTACTGACATTTGCATTTGTTGTTCAATCAAAGTTTTTATATCAATCGATTTCTCTCTTTCCAACCGTCAGCTCGACAAAATACTCACAGCTCAGGTTCTGCAAAGTGAACTAAAAGCCAATAAGATCCATGATGAGCACCTCTTCATTGTCACCCATCAAGGTAAGTTGAGCTTCGTTTTGTTTGAAATTATTATTTTTTTCTCATTTTCTCGAGAAAGCAAAATTGAATCCAGTCATAAACTTTACTTAAATGTTGATTTGATTGTAAATCATTCACCTTGTTTACAGACAGTTAGAGACAGGTGGAAAAAGGAAAATCAATTTTAAATTAAAGGGAGACTCTTTCACTCCTATAGTGAAGGATATGGAGGTTTTGTGTTGCATCCACTGAGTGTGAGAAGCCGCTGCACACTAATAGAAATAGTTAAACCATTTTTCCTTCATTTCTCTCTTTCTCCACCTGTGAATAGAAAAATGTAAAAGCCTTGACTGCTTACTGACCTTTGTCCTTACCTCAAAATAAAATACTTATATATATATTAATGATGCTTAAAGATCTTTTTTTTATTATTATTATTTCAGCCTATGAACTGTGGTTCAAACAGATTTTGTTTGAACTGGACTCTGTGCGAGAGATCTTCATCAGCGGTCATGTAAGTTATATTTCTGTGGTAACAGAAGGTTAAGCAATTGTAAATTCATAATTAAAATAGAGAAAAATGAAATGTATCTATGCACTGCTGCTACTATTTTTAGATGCACACTGCAAATGTTAAAGATTGAGTGCTGATAAGAAAAAATGAAGTCAATAAGATGAAGGGTTTAAAATGCTTTTAAAGAAGAACACCGTCACAATCGCTCAGTGCCTCTGTTTAAAAAATTACATTCACTAGTCATACTAACGTTTGTGATCAGGTATTTCCAGACTAATAGCAGAACAGCAGTTGTAATTTAACATCTTGCTTAGGTAGAAATATACATTATATTTTATACTTGTAAAAAATATTGTTGAAAATACAAAAAGAACCAGTTATTTAATTCGACTGTTTCCCGACCTACAAGCTTAAATGTGATCAGCAATAATTCCCCTGACATTTGCTCTTCCTCTGAAGGTCCGAGACGAACGTAACATGCTCAAAGTCAACACTCGCATCCACAGGGTTGTGATGATCTTCAGACTGTTGGTTGACCAGTTTGTGGTTTTGGAAACAATGACAGCCTTGGACTTTTTTGACTTTAGGTAAACTCCTCTCCAAAAAAGCAATATAACATGCACTCCTCCACAGCGTTGCACTCTGGCTTTACTGTGTACATGTTTGCTTATTTGTGTACACAGGGAATACCTGTCTCCGGCCTCTGGCTTCCAAAGCCTCCAGTTTCGGCTCTTGGAGAACAAAATTGGAGTTCCAGACAACCTGAGGGTTCCGTACAACAGACGCCATTACAGGGACAACTTTAAAGGTCATGACAGTGAGATGCTGCTCTCCACTGAGCAGGAACCAACACTTTTAAAGTTAGTTGAGGTATGTTTTACAGCTACCATTTTTGATTTAGTTAGTAAGTAATTAAAACACAAAGAATGAACATGAATTTGTTGTTCTTTCGCCCTGCTTTGCCAAGGTGCCACATGACAAACTGGGACTTTTGTAACGGGCCACACCAATAAACCAATAAACTGAACCCATTTCTGCTCAATATTAATTTTGTCTCTCTATAACCTCCATGGTGTAGCCCTCTACGACAGTCCCAATTTCTCATGTGACCCTTTGGCGAAATTAATTGCTCACCCCTGTGCTAGAGCATACATGTGAGAAAAAACCCTGGGCTGTTCTTTCAGGAGTGGCTGGAGAGAACTCCTGGATTGGAGGTGGATGGCTTCAATTTCTGGCAAAGGCTGGAAATCAATATATTTGATGGGTTAAATCAGGAGAAGGAGAAAATTGAGGTAAGAGATGGCTCCAGCTTTCAGAACAAACTTTTTTTCTTTTTATTTTTTTTTTGCTGTCCCTGGAGTACGCCGATGACTGACAGACACGGCTGTTTTTTCCTCCCGTATTTTCTTTTAAAGAAAATGCCTGATTCTGAAGAGAAAGAGGAACTGATGGCAGAGATGGTCAAACAGAGGGAGCTTTTCGCATCTCTGTTTGACGAAAAGCGCCACGATCACCTTGTCAGCAAGGGTAAGTGTTTAATCGGATGCCATAATCACCGAGGCTTTATCATGTTTATTTACGGCCTCTATTTGACGCAAAGTGAAGCTTATCTTGTGCAAGGTGTGGACTTTAAAATTGAAACTCTAGTTTACAAAAGGATGTAAACACCAGCATTTCTTGTTACCTCGAAAATAAAAATTTTCCCTTTCGTTAACAAGGCGAGAGGAGACTCTCTTACAAGGCTCTGCAAGGTGCTCTGATGATATACTTCTACAGGTATGTTTAGTTTGTTTCACCTTTAATGGTCTAGTGGTGACACTGCATGTTATATTTGCTTCCTATTCATAGTTTTACATTGTTAACACCTGGAGGCTGCAAACAGCTTCAGTGGAAAGTCTTGCACAAGAACGCCTCAGTGCTAGTCCCTGAGGCAAGGGTACTCATTTGTTCTTCCCACATAAATTTTCCATTACACAAGCCCCTTTGTGAAAAACTGCCTGAAAATGTAAGCTTTATTAAAAGGTGTGGTAACCGGCTTTTTCTTTCAAATCGTTGCGGTAAGGACACATTGTCACTTGAGATTTACTGAGTCTATGCAAAAGTCAACAGAGGTAACTGAAGTTAGTGGAAGGTGATAACAGATGCTAAATTTAATACGGTAACTTACTGGTGGTAGTGAACAGGTGATAGTTGTGCTCATGTTGTAGCTGATATGTAGAGAAAATCGGTTTTTTTTTTACATTATAATCTGTGAAACATAAAATCCTTTTTTTTTTTACCTTTCAGGGAAGAGCCAAGGTTCCAGGTTCCCTTCCAGCTGCTCACATCCCTCATGGATATCGACACCCTCATGACGAAATGGAGATGTAAGTACCGAGGCATCACCATTGCTTGTTACGTGTAAACAGAGTAAGAAAGTTTGAGGGGAAAGGAAAGTGTATTTGTTTTCTACAGTGTGTTGTTTTTATTTTTTGCCCAAGGGCAGAACTGGACTAACAAAGAAGCCTACAAAGTTACAAAACTTTAAAGTTAGATTTGAACCCAAGAGGCAGAAGAACCTTATAACATCCTCCATGCCCGCTGATCAATACAACCTATCGCCAATGGACAAAATAACAATGGCTATTCCTGGATGTTTTTTCCCCTACTTGTTTTGTAGACAATCATGTGTGCATGGTTCACCGGATGATTGGCAGCAAAGCTGGCACAGGGGGGTCGTCTGGCTACCACTATCTTAGATCAACCGTCAGGTATTGTATGATGTAAAATAATCTTATGATTGGACATTTATTTTCACACAGCAAGTATCCGAAACACTTCAGAGTTAATTTAGATAAAGACAGCGCAGTGCTACTCTGCTTATTTTAATTAACTTGTCATGTAGCAGTTCCTTCTGTAATGCACAGTGACAATATATTTCAAGTTCAAAGAAACAACACAAGAGTAAAATAAAATGTGAACCGCAGTTTATGTTTTGCTTCTCAGAAGACGAAATCCAGAACAGTTGCACATACTAAGTAAACCATTCTTTATTTGATCTTTTTAATTAGTGACCGATACAAAGTTTTTGTGGATCTTTTCAACCTGGCAACATTCCTGGTGCCTCGCCACTGGGTACCCAAGCTGAATCCCAACATTCACACTTTTCTGTACACGGCTGAGTGCTGCGACAGCTCCTACTGCAGCAGTGACGACTCGGATTAGAGTGCATCTCACTCGTCTGTCCAGGCTTTTTCACTTAAACAGATCTCCCAGCAGCGGATTATTTACAGTTCGATGAGAGGTGAAAATCAGGTCAAAGAAATACATTTTGTTGATGTTTATGAGAAACAATGCATGGCATCAGTGTACCTTTAAAGAACTCCTACACTGAAATATGAAGTGTATGTGTTTTCATGAATGGAGGCAATTCAACATGTGGCCGGTTTTATCAAACACTATATATTATTAAGAAGGATTTCAAATCTAGGTGAGATGAAATTCGAGGTCATGTGGTATTTTAATTTGACATTAGGTGAACTGGATGTTGGAGTGAAGAATAACGCAGACGGGTTGATTTGAAGGCGTGATGTCTTTACATGGCATCACACATGAATGCACAAAAACAGTAGATGTAACAAAGTAACTACGTTTGTACATATTAATGCTTAGCAAACAAGAGAAAATCAAGATAAATTATGCTGCAGGTTTATGACGCAATGTCTGACAGATAATAAATCAAATATTTAAACAGCCAAATTAAGACTATTTTACTTTAATCTTGACAGTGAGCCACAAAGTACTGCAGATGGCTCCTTGATAAGAGGTGCTCAGATGTTTCCTCAATAAATTTATGTAAATTGGCTGAGATTGACCTGAAAGCAAACAGATCAGTGAGAGCAGTGATCAAACTGTGAGTGCAAGGACAACGCTGGTGGCGATGATGAGTTTTTACAAAAATGGCTCATCTTTCATCTCAGCGCAGGGATGGTGTCATGGAGGGAGCCATTTCAGACTACTCAGATGTGTCTTGAGTGCATAAAGGTGTACAGCAAATGATGAACCAATGAACCGAACGCATCAACGTCTAAAACAAAACCATTTGCACAGAATAAATATGAACCATAAAATTGTACATAACGTTGTTGTTGTTTTTGTAAAGTTTTAAATTCATTTTGTCATGTATTTATGCACTGATTAATGAAATATCTTTATAGCCACATGTATGACTCATAACCTATGACATATATCTGTATGTATTTAATAAGATGTGTTTTATATGATGGAACGATTCATGTTATTGTATTTTTGCAGTGATGTGTTTTATTGTTCTATTAAAATTCAACACTTGGCAACAGTATGAAGTATTTTATTTGGTTTTAGTGGTGCTTACATCACAATAAAAACATTTAAAGTGGTACTCGAAAGCAAACAGATGAATGATTTGAAATTTGGCACTGGTAATCACACAGATATTCTCACACAAACACACACACACACGCACACACATGCACACCATGACTCATACAGGCATTGTTGTCAAAGAAAAACAGCTGCCACTGAATCTGCAATGCCTGCAAAAAGAAAAAGAAAATAGAGAAACGCTGTTATTCCCCGAGGAGATTCTGGACACTTCAGTGCACCTATCTTAAGATGAAAGATCATATAAAATGTCAAGATCAAAGGTCAAACTCACCACAAACGTTCCCACCTATTTTTATATAAACATAGCCGTCATTTCCCCATCTTGTTCCCCAGGAGTTCTGCACAATCCAGTACGGAATGTCCCCTGAAAGACAACATGCATTTAAGAGTGAATTATTTACTAGGTAAAGAAGCACTACTGGTGCTTAGCATGTGTGCTGCATCCACATTAGACCGTTACATAATCACTCCGACGCTTGCGTAATACCTAGAAAACAGAAGTGTTTGAAATAATTGATGTTAATAAATGTAAAGTATTTTTGTCTAAACTATGCCCATAAATAAAGTATGTGATAGCTGCTACCACACAGCTGTAACCAAGCTAGTGTTTAGCCTCTAATATTCATAAGTGTCCACTTTCTGGATCCCAAAAGAAGTAGATAAACATCGAAATAAACAGAACATCTGGTACACCATCACGTCAACATGGGTACACAAATTGTTAATGATTACAATTTCAGCTAACCTTTGATCACCGCATGCTAAGAGAACAGGGGATTAGGGTACAAGGTGAAATAGCAAAATACTTAATGATACGCTGTAAATAAGGCAAGTTTAAAAAGAAAACTCAAACTCTGCTTTAATCTCGTAAATTACTTGCAACTAAACAAGCAGGAGTTGTAAAAGAGTTGAAATAAGGACCTTGAGAAATGAAAACATTTTCATTTTTATTTAGTCTTCAGATCTGACATGTAAAACCTTTTCCTCCTGCTGGCTCATATTTCACTTGATATAAAAATTTTATTTTTAAGGATTCGAAATAAGCTAAAAACTGATCAAATGCAGGTTTAAACTACTTTCACGGTGGATTACAAATCTCTAAAAATCGAAAATTGTGTTAGCTCAAATAAATTATAAAGTCATATTTTTTTAAACTATTCAAAATACTTTGTCTCACTTAAATGTGACATGTGGTAGTATTTACCGGTAGTGTCATAGCCGACAATCAGGACAGCATGGTTGGACCACTGGCTGGAGCAGTGGTATTGGATGATGCCTCCCAGGTAATCTTGCCAGCTTACAGCATCCACAATAGCAACCAAAGGGCCATATTGTACTAGCTGACCCATCATTGCCTTCTCTTGACCACTGGGAAAAAACACAGCACAACGTGTTCTTATAATTACGTTACTACTCTAATGTAAAGTCAGGCAGTTAAATGTTGTACAAGAATATTTAACTAATCAACTTCAATTATCAGTACATCAGTTTTGTTTGATTTTTACTAAATGTGGTGCATTTTCTCCCGTCAGTTTGTAACTAAAGAGGCCAGTTTTTGAGCAACACTCTCTGTCCTTGCACAAGATGATTCCCGCTGGTGTTATGTCACGCTGTACTCTGCCAGCCTTATTACATATGGTGCGCGAAGCCCCTGTTTGTGCCAAATCTATACCGAAGAAAGTCAGAATAAAGTCATTTGGGTTTCCATTTATGGTGAGGTTGTGTTAAAACTTTATGGTGTTTTTCAGCAGTAAAAATCTGGTTTAACCATGAGATTCGCCGTCCCTGTGACCTCCCCAAGTCTCCACCCTTCAGAAACATCCAATTCCAGCAGCTTGATAAACTCCGTGACCTAACGTTGAGACCCCTCAGAAGACGCATACAGGTCTAAGGAAAATGTTTAGACTGGATCAGTGAATTGTGGATGAGAGAACATCAGGAATTTAAGTAACATTGTGTTGATATGCAATAAATCTCAATATCAGCGCTTCACTTTCAAGTTCTGTTTAGAAAGGCAAAGTGGCTTTATTTACACGGCACACTTCAAACAGAGAGGGAAGTTAAACTGCTTTACACGGACAAAGGGAAGCATCAAAAATAGTGAGCCACAATAAACTATAAATATAAGAGCACGGAATGACAGGTAAGTATGCAAAAGGAAATAAAATGCATCCAAAGAAAATAAAATATGAACATAACAGTCCACTATGAATAAATCTACATTGCAGTTATGCCGTTAGACGCTGACCTGAAAACAACAACTATAAAACACAGAAACCAATCCATCACAGACAAGAGAGAACAAGTGAGTTTTTGGGTTAAATGTGAAAGTGGCTAGATTGGCGCGCATGATATATCATCAGGAAGGAAGTTGTTTCCATCTGTATGCAGCACACTAGCAGAAGGCAGCCTAACCTAGTTTGATTCTAAGTGATTTATAAACCAGCAACAGAACTTGAAAGTGTCTGATTTAAGAATATCACCTTAAATTCTAGCCTCTTGTTACGATTCTGGCAGCAGCGACTCTGAGAGGCCCGAGGCTGCCTGACAGGCTTTAGTGAAAACAAGAAATATTTATGATATAGAAATGAAGTATCACTGAGTTTCTGCAAACCTTTGTGAATTCCAAACCTTGCTAGTCAGTATACAGAGTGAGAATCTCCTGGCTGTGGCATCCATCATGTATTTAACTTTTGTCAGGTAGCAGCTGGGGTGGCTGACTATTTTACTTTTGACTTGTTAACACAAATTTCAACTCCACTAAAAAAGATGAATGTGAAAAAGATAACAATGTTTGTTGTTGTTTGTTTTTTAAAGCACTTCGTGGAGTGTGCATGTAGTTGAAATAATCAGTTGAGTTTATGAACTTCTCTGATAAATGCCTCCATATTAAAGTAGAATGAACAACATGTTGGTGAAATCCCATTACAAAAAAGCTGATTGTTTTATTTGTTTCCAAAATGGATTTGGTCCATGTGTACATTTTTCATAGCTGGGTGTCCAACCCGATTGCTGAGTTTATCAAAGCAGTATATTTTTTGAATCGCTCGAGTTAAAGAAGCAAAATCAACCACATTCAGAGTCTGAGGTCTAGTCGCTATTTCTCCCTGTAGTCTTTTACTTCCATTACTACTTTAAGTCCTTAAACTGCTGTGTGAAGATAAGAGGTTATCTAGGCCATCTCACAGAGATCCGGGGTCCTGCAGCAGCAGTACAAATCTATTCTCAAGTTTAACTCTTCTTTCTCCAGCTGCCCATGGCTGTATCCTACAAAGCACAGGTTGATGAGGCACTCTGCCTCCATGGTAATGAAGGCCAGTTGATGGTACTGCAAATCTCAGCTCACTTGTCCCCCCATTTCCCTGACAAGTGATTTGTAGTTCTTTGACTTTGCACCAAGAGAGCTGCAACTACTTGCAGAATTATTGCCAGGCAGACAGTACTCCTGTTTCTTACTAGTCGTGGTTGTGATAATTTGCTGTGTGTTAGCACAGTAAATTATCACTACCACAACTCTTTTCCAATATATGGAGTCTGTGATAAATGAGGTTTGTACCATTCAAGGTCATGGTTGCATACTGATACTGTAATAAAAATATTAGAAGAAACATGGCAGCCCTCCATGTTTTTAACAAATTCATTTATGTTTGGCAGAAAAACATCAAGAAAACAACAGTTAATAAATACAATTAAAATGTATACTATTGTTTAAAAGATTGCACATAAATAAATAA